TCCTGGCAGGGTACTTCCTGCTGCCGTCTGGGCTCTTCATGCTGTCGATCTGGCTGCTGAGGGCCTTCAGCGTGGCCTGGACGCCGGGGTCCACCACCGTGTTGGTGGAGTTACTGTTGGGCAGAGCTTCGTCCTCACTGAACTCAGGAGGAGGAGGTGGACCGGATTCGTAATCATGAGGGCCGCCCAGGAAATCATCCAAGGCAGCGGTGGGAGGTCCTGGGGGACCTGGAGGACCTGGGGGACCTGGCTCTCCAGGAGGCCCCTGTCAGACACCCAGGAAAAGGTGTTTTAACTTCCGTATTGTAGGGGTGAAAGTCAAATTGTGTTCATGAGACAAAGAGGAGCAGCACCAGAATTTTACCTCTGGTCCAATTTCTCCGCTGATGCCACGGGTTCCAGGAGGTCCCATGGGCCCTGGTTGTCCAACATACCCTTCCTTTCCATGGGGTCCAATAGGTCCAGGGGGCCCCTGAGTCGTGTTAGGGTACAGACTGCGTTAGTTGACAGCTAACAAATGAGCTTTTGATCAATATTCAATAATCAATAATAAAAGAAACTGACTCTGGCTCCACTGGGTCCAACGATCCCTGGAGTTCCCTGCTCACCGGTGGTTCCCTGTGACGAACAACGGACGAGACTTTAATCTGATGTAGAACGTTGACGATTTAATCCAAGAACACTGGAACAGTCTTTTTGGTTTAAATAGAGACAACTTCTGACAGCACACTGTCATCGCTCCGAGTGGAACAGTCTTTTTGGTGTGGGTCAAAGTTCTGACAGCACACTGTCATCGCTCCGACTTACCGGAGGTCCTGGAAGACCCTGCAAACCAGTGAAACCACGATGACCTTTCTGACCTCGTTCTCCATGATCTCCCAGATCACCTTTATCTCCTCTTGGTCCTTGAGGTCCCTAAAAAAAAAAAGAAAGATTATATTTCATTTAAGGGGACGGATTATTGGATATATTTATATATATATTTCATGTGATGTGGAGTTGTCAGATATAAACAACTGTGTACTCACCACTAGTCCTCTCTTACCAGCTGAGCCCGGTGGACCCACTGGTCCTCTAGAACCCTGCAGACAGGTCAGAATCAGATCAGAGCGTGATCACCTGAGTCCACGCCAACATCGTCATAGGACGAGGACAAAGTTCACTTACAGCCTCTCCTCGCCTCCCGGCATCACCTGGTGCACCAACAGGACCTGGAGGACCAGGAAGTCCCTGTGGTCCAATTAATCCCTCTGGACCGTGGTCTCCTCTGTCTCCCTGGAGAACCGACAGTGATTAGTCAGCAGAAACATTCCACAACACCTGTAGCAGAGGATTCTGGTAGTCACGTACTCTTTGTCCAAGAACGCCGTCCTTTCCTGGAGGTCCATCAGAACCTGAGGGTCCCTGGAGATCACAGAGAGACGTCAACATGTGACGGTGTCGGAGGAACACTGGGGTTCAGGAGGTGAAACGTGTGCGGTACTTACATCAGGACCGGGATCACCACGGGGTCCATTAGCACCTGGAACACCAACGGGACCTGGGGGGCCTTTCTCTCCTGATTGTCCTGTAGACCCCTGTTTGCCTGGTGGACCCTAAAGAAAAACAAATACAATAAAATCATGAGAAGGCTCCAAAACGATGTTCTTCAGAGACAACAACGTCACTGGAACTGACCCCTGGTCCTGGAAGACCTGGCATTCCACGTTCTCCCCTCTGACCAGGAAGACCCACAATGCCTCTCTGTCCTGTGGTTCCAGCTGGGCCTGGAGGACCATCAGGGCCCTGCAGTGGAGATCAGTACAGAGAGAACGGTGAGATGAAACTCGTACGACTAAAATCTGCCAAAACGTCCCAGAAACTTTGGTCGGGTTCTCTTTACCGTAGGTCCGTCTTCTCCAGAATCTCCTTTGTCCCCAGCACTGCCTGGTGGACCTGCTGGGCCCCGCTCTCCTTGTCTTCCAGGAGGTCCATGATCTCCACGCAGCCCACGAGGTCCCTCTTTTCCTGGAGGTCCAATAGCTCCAGGTTCTCCAAGTGGACCCTGGCAGGAGAGGGAACAGTAATGAGGTCCACGAGCCAGGTATAGACCCACCTTCATACTGGGTTCAAACTTATATTTTCATAGGTTTTCTTCAACACTTTATGTAGCTGTCCTTCCCTGCCTGCAGGTGGTGCTAAATACACCTTTAGGCAGATAAAAATAATATAATAATATAAAACTAATTTTGTGAACTGTGTTCAAATTTTTTACACAAGAAGAAAGTAAAAATAATTAGAGTGATGAAACGTTAGTTCAAGTAATAATTTTAGCACGCTAAAATGCTAGCATCTGGTACAAACTACGACTCACTTATTCACTGAATTAGTTAGTTAACCTAGTTAACTAGTTAACTACTAATTTAACTGAGTTACATTTAGAACTTTGTTTTTTTTTGTTTTGATAATGATTCTGACAGTTTTGTCCTGGACCTGGAACTGTTTATTGTTATTGCACATTGCCCTGTTTGTCTTCTGACTTTTTCCCGACCTAGTTCTGAATGAAACTCACAGTTGGGCCTGGTGGTCCCACTCTTCCTGCAGACCCGGGGAAACCAGTTGGACCCTGGAGACAGAAACAGGACAGGAGGAAGTCAGGAACAGGAAACAGTTTTAAAAACACGACACCGCTGAGGTTCAGTCAACAAAAAGACTCACTGGCGCCCCCTGTGTTCCTCTTCCGCCTTTGAGTCCGGCGACACCGACGGGCCCCTGAAAAAAGACACCCGATCAGAGACTGAGTTCATCAGGAACCGCAGCTCACACCAACTGGTGTGTATGTGTGTGTGTGTGTGTGACTCACATGAGGTCCGTGAGCTCCAGCTGCACCCTGAGGTCCTGGAGATCCAGCGTCTCCTCTCTGGCCTGGCTCTCCAGGCTCTCCCTTCACACCAGGTTGACCATCAGGACCCTGGTGAAAAAGTAGGTCACATGACGTTAAAAAACCAGACCTGAGCTGTCAAAATAAGAGCCGTTCAGCCGAGACATCTGCTTCTGTTACCGACCTGAGGTCCAGCGAAACCGACGGCACCGATTGGACCAGGTTCTCCTCTGGCTCCCTGCAGAGAAAGATTTATGTTCGACGTCAAACTTTTTTTTTTTTTTTACACCAAAGGGAAATCAACCTGACTTGGTCTTAAAGGGACGGAGAGACTCACATGCATTCCTCTGGATCCAGGAGGTCCAGCTGGTCCTTTGGGTCCAGGTTCACCCTGTGATGACATCACACTGTAAGTGTGTGTTTTCCAATGAAGCAGTGATTTTAGTTCACTGTAAGTGTGTTTTCCAATGAAGCAGTGATTTTTATGATTCTAAGAAGCAGCGCCGCGGATGTAACGATCAGAGACAGGTTTTTATATCGCCGTAAAGAAAAGATGTTTCTGACACGGAAATGAGAGGAGACGGGAGAGGATTCCTGTCTGCTACAGGTAAGTACAGGGTCAAAGGTCAGGTCACGGTGACAGCTAAGAGTGAAGACTGTACCTTCTCTCCACTGGGTCCAGCAGATCCTACTGGGCCGACAGGACCAGGAGCCCCCTGTGAAGACAGAGGACAGAGTGTTGGAGACAGACAGACGGTAACCTGTGCAGTCATGAAAACGGACAAACAAGTCTGGACGGATCTGCGTCTCGTCGACCTTTTTCAAACATCACAGGAATTCCACTGTTCGTGGCTCCTCTTACCCTGGCTCCGTCGTTCCCTGCTGTACCCTCGGATCCTTTCTCACCGATCGCTCCCTGAAACCAGCGGAGACAATCGTTCAGGTTGTTGCCTTGTCACAGTGTTGATCATCGGTACCTGTTTGTGACGTCCGTGGACGGAGAACTTACTCTGTCTCCTTTAGGCCCAGGGGGCCCAGAGATGCCCCTCTCTCCCGGCATTCCCTGAAGACCTGGAGGACCCACATCACCCAGGGCACCAGGGGGACCAGGACTTCCCTACAGGGACAAACACCAACATTATATAACACACTATATGAAACATATATGACAAGGTGAAATATAAAGATCCCGTTACCTTTGAGCCGTCAGGACCAGGTGCACCAGGGATCCCTTTTGGTCCTTGCAGACCAGTTGGGCCCAAGTCTCCTCTTTCTCCTGGTATTCCACGTTCTCCCTGGAGAAAAGGTCATTGTTATTATTATTTTTTTTTTCCTTAGTTCTCAGGAGGTTCTCCAACATTATTCAGATCAACGTTGACTTACTCTGGGTCCGATCTGACCGACGGCACCAAGTTCTCCAGGAATTCCCTGAAAGACACACACACACACGTCAATGAAACCACTGGTACTTAGGGATTCAAACCATCGACCTCATGTGCATGTGGACACACACTTACTTGATCACCCGGTTTTCCAGGTTCACCTGGAGGACCTTGATTTCCAGGCAGCCCCTTGAAGACAACACATGTCAATATACTGCCACCAGGAATATCACAGGAGGGAAACAGTTCATCCTCCCCCTCAGTCCCCCCCTCCCCCACCCCTCAGTGACCCTCCTGAAACGAATCGTTTGAATCATTTTACCTGGAATCCATTCACACCAGGTGGTCCCTGCTCTCCTCTGTCTCCGGCCACGCCCTGCAGGACAGAAGGACAAAGACACAGTTCTCATTGAAGACGTCTGTGGAACATCAGGAACATGGAACGTATGAGAGGAACGTGAACCTACAGACGGGCCTGGAGGACCGGCTGGGCCCACTTCACCGTCTTTTCCTGGAGGACCCTGGAAACACAAAGTATTGTTGTACCTGGTGAGTACACGGCAGTACTGCGAAGCTCTAATGTACTGCAGTAAACTGTTCTTAAAAGGACAAATCAAGTGGTTGGAGATGTGATGACATCACGGTTCTCACCCTTTGACCTGGAACTCCTGCAGATCCTTGTTCACCTGTCTTTCCTGGGTCACCCTGTCAACATTCAACAGTTCCACAGAGTACCGATTGTTACTGTCACAGGAATCCACTACTTTACATTCCACTCTTTTTCAAAAACTCAAAGATGTTTCTTACGTTGAAGCCCTTGGGGCCTGGAACCCCCATTGTTCCGGCGGGTCCTCTGGTTCCGATGGACCCTGCAGGTCCTGGACGTCCGTCCTCACCCGGGGCGCCCTAAATAAGAGGAAAGGTGTGACGATGACCCCGGGCGACATTGACCCACAGAAGACATCATACAGAACTGAGACTCACCAGAGGTCCTGGCTTGCCTTCTGCTCCCTGGACTCCGGGGGTGCCAGTGAGTCCCTTTTGGAGAAAACATCACAAATTGTTTCAATAAACCTTGTGACAGAACAAATTAAAAGATGTTTTATGACAAAGTAAAACATCGAGCTTCTCAGTGTTACCCTAGCACCTGGTAGACCAGGTTCTCCTGTACGACCAGGGTCTCCCAGGGAACCTTTGGGGCCTCCTGGTCCAGATATACCACGGTCTCCTTGAGCACCCTGGAATATAAGACAAAGATTCATCAGCACTTACTCATATTAATTAACCCAAAGATCAGTGAAGTGACCCACAGGAGCCACGGGTTGGAAACCAACTGTACCTTAGGTCCTGGAAGTCCATCAGCACCGGGGAACCCTCTGTTACCAGGAGCTCCCTACGGAACATGTCAGTGAGGTTCGTTTAAAAATCACATTCACCTTTAATCAACGATAATGATATTTTTTTCTGTTGTGTCAAAAGGTCAGAGGTCAGAGCAGAGAAGGAGAACCTTCAGAACCCAGTATGGTGTTCTACATGTTCCAGATGTTATCTATTTATAACTTGGGGTACTGGGCCCTCTTCGGGGGACACTGCCGTGACCTTTGACCTTTGACATTAAAGTCAGCTCCACTACTGAATGTTCTGAAAGTAAACGATGACTCACTCTCTCACCAACAGGACCAGGGGGTCCGACAGAACCAGGGTCTCCACGAAGCCCTCTCTTCCCTTCCTCACCCTGAGGTCCAATCACACCCTGAGAACCTGGTGGACCCTGGGAACAGATGAGGGGTGAGTTTATATTCCCTTCCCATATATGTTTATATATGTTGTTCTCCATGTTTTCACGTGGAACTCACAGGTTCTCCTTTTGGTCCCGCCTCTCCTTTAAACCCGGGAACACCAACATCTCCCTGTAACATAAACATTCAAGTATGTTTGGGGCAGAATATATACACATGGGGAGTGTTCACTGTATATTTACACATATATGAAGACACTATATGTTAATTCTCCAAAAAACCACTGTACCAGTTGTCCTTTGATACCAGGCTGCCCGGTGCTTCCCTGAGGTCCTGGTGGTCCAGGGGGTCCAGCGTGTCCTCCTTGACCTTGTGGACCAAGGTTCCCCTGTCAAAGGTGATTAATATTAATATTTACCTCTGGTTTTAACCAATCACGTCACAGCTGACTGAATGACCGATCAGTGAACCTACCACTGGTCCTTTGGTTCCCGTCCCACCGTCTGTACCCATGGGTCCCTTTGTGGATAAAGGTTCTGTGGTTAGATGTTGTCAGCAGCAGCAGCAGCAGCAGCATTAGCATCAGTATTAGATTAGTTATATTCACCCTGATGCCGACTGGTCCAGGTCTGCCCAGGTGACCTGTTTCTCCTCTCTGTCCCTGAGGGCCTTCAGGACCACGGACTCCTGTTGGACCAGGTTGACCCTTTGGAAAACAATCAAAGACAGGAGTTAAATTCAACATGTGTTTACAGTGAAAAAAACACATCATATACTGTAGTACTAATATATACCACGAACTAACTAAAAACTACACAGGTAAACGTTGAGTACTCGCTCTACTTGCCTTCATTCCTGGGCCCCCTGGATATCCGGAGGGGCCGCTGAGACCTAGAGGACCCTGTTGTACAAACAAATAATTATTAATACATGAAGTTTAATCAACTGTCTTTAATTATTCACAAACTAGTACTGTTAGAGTACAGAACCTAACCTACCATCGGACCAGGTTTTCCAACATTACCAGGTGGCCCACGTTTGCCCTGAAAGACAACCATGTACTCACGTCAATGGAATTGTATACTTGAATACTCATACAGTGCAGTACACATTCCTGTTACACAGGAATCAGTCGCTGTCATCAGGGTTTATGGTCTTACCGCGATACCGCCGGGCCCAACGCGTCCCCTCTCTCCTGGCATCCCAGCAGGACCCTGTGGTACAAAACAGCAGTTAGTCCCAATTGAAGCTGCCATTCAAATACTTGAAGTACTTCCTGTTAAATACTTCTGATTTCACTCCATCACATACAACATAATAGATTTATATAAAAATGTATGTGTTTTCATACGAGTGTTAAACTCATAACTCAGAGCTTTGAGACTCTGACCCACCATAGGTCCAGGGCCTCCCATTTGTCCAGGTGGTCCCGTAGCCCCCTACACAGGCAGAGGAAACAGATGACGTTGTTTTTAGTCCAACAGAACTCCTGATTACACACTGACACAGGAATCAAACCGCTGCACACAGAGGTGAGGTGCATCATGGTCTACCTTGGATCCAACGGCTCCAGTTTCTCCCTTCTGACCAATCGGTCCACCGTGGCCCTGGAAAGAAAATGTCATCCTGGTCACACACACACACACTTTTTAATCTGACCATAAATGGGAGTAAATCTAATGAGGTAGTACTAGTACTCACTCTGTGGCCCTTCAGACCAGGAGGTCCAGGAGTACCAGGGAACCCTCTTGGACCCTAGAACATGTAATAAATATTGATTTATGAAAAGTCAAGATGAAGATGATGATGATGAATCTAAATATCAGGGCGTGTCCAGAGGTGGTACGATTCCTTACAGCTGATCCGGGGAATCCAACCTCTCCAGAGTTTCCTGGTTTTCCTGGTTCTCCCTAAAATTAGACGGGAAAATTAGATTTGTTTAGACAGAAAAGTATCAGAGTGAGTTTGTTTCTCATGTACTGAGAGTTTGTGCTGATTACTATTTAGAACTTTCCGGAGCGGTGCTAACATCTCACGGAAACTAAATCCTTTTAATGACACTGTCATCGTGACCAGTCGACGGTGAGAAAGACAAACAAACACTCACTGTGTGTAAAGTGTAGTATCGTGTACTCGGATAAAGAGTGATTTCAAGTAATATGAAGATTACAGTTTGACAGTGAATATATCTCTATATATACATATATACAAATATATTTTGCATATGTGAATGCAGTAACTGTATAAATTAAAATACTGCGTTTCTGATTTCTGTTTAGACCTGAGCAGCTTTGACCAGAGTACACAGGTATCATACACAGGTAAGTGGTATTACTACAAAAATACTACATAGAAGAGTCCAAATCAGCAGGTAGATGTCAGTGTTTCTCATCTGTTTTTTTTTAATCTGTGACTAATTCAAATAATTGGAATTATTAATAAGCAGAAATGTATCAAATTCAAATGATTGGAATTATTAATAAGCAGAAATGTATCAAATTTAACAAATGAATTAACATGATTTACATTCATTTAGACAGTAGGTGTCACTGTCCCTCTGGTTCTTTCTCATATATTTGTTGACCATCAGAGCGTCAATTGTGTACATATATATATTATATTTATATATGTGATCCTAAATACATGGTTCCTGTGCGTAGGAGCTACAGCAGTTTGTCAAACATGAAGGACAGTGAGTGACACACTTACATCTTCACCTGGTTTTCCTGGAGGACCCTCAGCCCCCCGTTGGCCAGACGGACCCTAAATGACACACACACAATATCCTTTAAAAACGCGATCTAAGTCGACTCAGTTGTTATGAAGTTTGATTTTTTTTTTTATTTATGAGAATAATCAAGTAATTATAAAGAATATATATATATGTTGTACCATATGTCCTGGGTCTCCAACGTCTCCATGAGGCCCCTGTGGTCCAGCTTGGCCCTGAAGGAGAAGAAGGAGAGAAGCCATGAAGTATTTAAGTATACACAGTACTTCGAGATGAAAATGTAGTCGTGTGTGTGAACTTACAGGGGAACCGTTTGGACCAGGAGGTCCTCTTGTTCCTGCTTCGCCCTAAAACCACCAGGAGACAAAGTCAGATTTAAAGCCCAGGTCTCCACCGCTGTAGTCCACAGAGTGATCTGGTATCAGTACCAGATGTCCTTCCTGACGCAAATAAAACCTAGGATTTGAGGTCAAGGTAGAAAAACCCAGAATCCTCTAGTAGCTGCAGTCCAATCATTTCATTTAGTCGTGTATTTTTTTTTAGGGATGTCCAATAATATCAGCCGACTGATGATACTGTAAGAGAACGTCTGTCCAATCCTCTCCATATGTGGACAGGTTCAAAGAAGAACATTAGGAATTTTGCCGACATCATCTTACCCTGGAGCCGCTCAGCATTGCTTGTGGTCCAGTTTTCCCATCAAACCCTGAGGCCATTTGGGACATCAGACCCTGCAGGTGAGGCAAAAAAAAGGTCATGCATTTGATCATTAATGATGTCACAGGAGTCTGGTCTCAGCCGAGGTCCGTAGACCAGTTCAGTCCAATCCTTTTCAAACCAAACACATTGTTCTTTCAGCACAAGGGAACTGTTCCCAGTGGAACTCACTCCTGGTGATCCTGAATGTGTTGGATGTCCTGGAGGTCCAGGTTCACCGGGCTGACCAGGCACACCAGGCTCTCCATCGTAACCCGCGGTACCCCGCAGTCCCTACAGAGACGGAGACAAATGAAGTAAGAGATAAAAACAGAAGGAGAGATTAATCCAAATTAAATCTTGAAGATTGTTTTTCCACCAAACAGTTTAAACCAACATTCGGTCGGAAAAGGACTGAAATGTTTTAGTGTCGACAGAGTTGTGGCGGTGACGTACGGGCCGGCCTTTGTTTCCACGTGGTCCTCGTTCTCCTGGAGAGCCGGGTGGTCCCTGTAGTAATCAACGAGGACAGACAACAGTCAGGTACAATAATACACAGTAGTACATGTGCTGTACCATGTTCTTTATAATGTGGTGAGGTACAGTCAAACTAGGAAATGAAATCCATAAACAATCGTACCATGGGTCCTGGGCGACCTCTGATACCAGTGACCTGGAAGACAATTCACAGGTTACCTCTCACAGTCACACACAGAATGTAGTTTAGTTTGAGTGTTTTATGACATGTGAAGTAACTGACCTGGGGGACATCGCCAGGCTCGCCCTTTTGACCCTTATAGATCCTGTCTCCACCTGTATAAAGGAAAAAACACAGTATTTTTATATCGTGTACCATCAGGATTAAGGTCATTAGGTCAACCATCAGTGTTAGAGTGACCGTGTGTTACCAACAACAGTCGTCAAAACAAAATCAACTCAGTCAGTCTGATTTTAGTCTTTAAAGGGATGCAGTGTTCCCTCGTCTATCGTGAGGGTTATGTTCCAAGACCGTCCGCGATGGGCAAAAAAAAACGCTAGAGACGTGATATATTATACATAACGAATATATTAACCCTTTATGAATCCTTTAGGAGGTATCGTAGGTCATGTAATATGGCAAAAAACGTAACAAAACTTTCACAAATCTTGTATACCCGTACGTACAGGTTATTTATTTTTACTGTTTTTTTCTAGATAGGCTAGAAATGCTTATTTTATCATAAAATAATAAAAATAATATCGCAAAAACCCGTGATAAAGTGAAAAATCCGCAAAAAATACAAAAATACATTTAAAATCTTAAATACCTGCGATGCACCGAGGGAGCGACAGCCGAACCGCGATACAGCGCGGGACGACGTGTGTATTCAAACACTGCATGACTCACCAAAAGTGCTGGTTCCACGACCACCGGAAGAGTCTGTCTGGCACACGGGGCAGCACTCGTTTTCTGGGATGTAAACCTTCTCACAGTTGGTCAGTTCATCACAGTGGATCTCTTCGCACAGGACTTGGCCGTTGTCACAGACACAGATCCGGCATGGATCTGGTTTCCAGATGTCCTTGTTTGTGTACACCTGGCCGTCCGCTTTGCAGTTCACGTCATCTCCTGGAACAGACGGTGGACGTTCTTAGTTTAAGACATTTTTTTTTGTTTCTTGTTATTGCTTATGAACAAGAGAAACAACCACACTTCCACGTCGGTCCATGAAAATTAGCAGTAAACAATACTTATGTCAGCGTGTCTCTGTTTTGAGTAAATGGTGGCTTAAGCCAGTTCCAGCAAGTACCACCAGTCTCTGATTGACTTAAACACCAATAAAAATCAAAGACCAAAAAACAATTTTAAAAAAAAAAAAAAAATCTGACACCATGATGTGTACTTCAATAGTTGTTCTCAACTATTTAAAAAAAAAGGTTTCCAGTAAATAAAACGTTATCAAAGGAGATGTATCGACATGAAAACGAAAACTGAACAAAAATATGCAGAAGAAACAACGTTGAACAGAACCAACATGTGGTTCTCGTCTCCTAGAACAGATTGTCCTGCATTGAGATTTGGATGAAAAAAAAAAGAAAAAAAAGCCTGACGGACAAAAGCCTTTGTATTAAACCTCCAGCTTTTGGGGATTTTCAGTATTTCCTTTCACCTTCCCAAAAACTAAAGTTATATTAAATGACAAAACAACTGTTCCTCTGAAATATCCGATTTATGACTTGGCTTGAAAACTGTAAATACGACCTGTTCACAACTGCGTGTCCGTCCACTTCTCCAAACTCTTGTCATTAAATAATAATATAGTCGTTACAAAAACATAGATACGACCACAAATTAATATAAAAGAAAAAAAATGAGGGCGCTGTTCCTCGCCGTGCTGACGTCAGTTATTAGATCGTGTCCGTAACTGTCTCGCTGAATGTCACGCTTATTACAAGCTGACTTTTCACCGCTGGAATATCTTTAATAAACGTATTGATAGGACTTAAAACCGGTAAAAAGATTAGGCAAACAGTACCACGCCGCACCAAAGGGGGCAGACGTGAGCCCATCAGGTGCTTGTTGATGTTGGTCTTTAACACAGAGGCCATTAGTGCTAATAACTTAGCGTTTTAGATTTAGCCGTTCGTGTTTTATATTTATTTATTCAACTGGTTCCTTTCAAACGGAGTTCTGTAACAACATTGCAATAATAATAATAATAATAAATAGTATTGTACACCGAAACAGATTTAGGCAGACTTTAAAATGAGTTTCCTTCGAAACTAAGTAAATACGTAGAACCTGAAGGACAAAGTGATGAAGAGACTTGAGGATGAGAAGAAGAGCTGGACATTATTCACAACTGAAGGTAAAAACCATAAACGTTTTTCAGCTTTTATTTTTTTTTAAAAAGTCCAATATTGAAGTATAATATTTCACCCTTTCGTGTTAAATATTTGCAGAACTGTCAGAATTAATTAACCAATTAAACGAGTAAAACCGTACAGCTTTCAATAATACCACTGTAATGTTTGAAGTCGCCATTTTGTTTCGTTTAGGTTCATCTGTTACTCGTGTTGAATTTAAATTACAAAGTAAATTTTAAATACAAATGTAACAACACGGAGCACAGCAGCTTGCTGACGTCATCTCTAAACACTGTGTTGAAATGTTTGGAGAGGTGATTAGATGTGAAAGATAAACTGTCGTCAATGTTCCGTCTGACACTTTCACAGATGTTTACTACTTTTTGGTTTGTTTTTTATTTATTTGGACCACAGGTGTCGGTGCCGGTGCCTCATCAGCCCGTGAGACACACTGCACGTCACTGGATCTGACACATCAGGGTCCACTGCTGCAGGAGCCACAGACTTTCAACACGTTCCAATTATAAACAGCAGGTGGCAGCTCTGAGCTTCACAGTACAGGTAAGTCAGCTTGGCTGGCTGTGTAATTGTGTACCTGATCTAAGTTTATAATTTTTGTTCAGGTATATAAAATAAATAATTTGAGAACTGAGGAGTACGTTCTCCCAAATCAAACAGCAGAAATAACTTCCTCTTCTAACAGACAGTGACATGTATAAAAAATGATATAATAATTATATCTCCCTGACTGAGTGTTGACATACTTAAAGATTTTAATGAAGCTAAATCAAACCAAATGCTCAAACAACTAGAAAAGACTACAGAAGTTTTCAACAAATATGGAATGAGTTTCTGTCAGTAATTTAAGGCCCAACTAAAGTTCTGTGGCACTGTTCAATGAAGGCAGACGATTATTTTTTTTAATGAAAGATTTGAATAAATCAAAGGAATATAAATAATGGAAACACAGCCTTAAAATTAAAGTTCTCAGTTTTCCTAAAATGTCAAAGAAAACAGAAAATATTTTTTCTCACAGGAGTCAAAGTAACCTCTTCAATCTGTCCACATTGACTTGTCTGAAACACACAGCCATATAACAGAGCACGAGAAATGAAAGGTGTTAATATAAATATAATTATTTATATAAACTTTACCTACTCCTGTAAAATTAGTGATTGTGAAATGTTTTTTCCTGAGATGTTTTTTTTCTGGTATTTCTTCAGTCGTTTCTCTGTATTTTTGTCTTCGTTGAAAGCAGCAGCAGCAGAAGAAGAAAATATTTATTAGTTCTGTTGTGGATCTTTACACGGTGTGTGTGTTTGTCACTATGGCAGTGCTTCCAAAAATAAGGGGATGGGCCCCCAACGTGAGCCAAAAATGGTAGGGCGGGCGGGGGATAAGGAGAGCGTAGCGGTGCAAAATAAATATTATCTTTATTACTGATTGGTTTTAGTCCTATTTACAGAAATAAGAGGTGAACAGCATTTACAAAATTCACATAAAACTAAGAGGTGAAGGAACAGAATTTACAAAATTCACATAAAAACATGAATAGCTTTTATTTAAAAAAAAAAAAACAGTCCAATATTGAAGTATAAAACAAAGCTATGTTTTAACGCAGACGGGAAGCTAACGCTGTGAACGACTCCCTGACGTACAACAGATTCTCTATCCTTCTTCTTTCCTTCTGCAGCTGTGTTGGCAGATGCTAATGAATTTTTGTCTTCTGCCCTCTCTCCCTTTCTCTCTCTCTCTCTCTCTCTCCCTCCCTCCCTGTTGATTGGTGGGGACAATCCACCATTGTTGTCCGTTGTCTCTTCCACCCGTGATTTACGTGATATAAAAGTTCTGCGCCTGCAGAAGACTTTTTCCTACTGGATTCAAAGAAATCTTAAAATGCTCTGTGTCACTGCATCTTAAAAAAAAAAGAAACTTTACTGGAAAAAGAAGTGTGGTTTTCAGAGCAGTTCTAAAACCCCCACCGCAAGCCTGGAGGGGCTGCAGGAGGGTGGGGGGGATGTTCACTTTTTCCCCTCCTCTCAGCTAATTCACTGCAGCCTCCGCTCTTTTCCACAGACACTGTAACGCACAGTTAATGGTAACAACGGCGAAGGCATTTTCCCCCAGGACTGCTTGATCTGGATTTTCCACTAGTCAGCGTCGGGGGCAGACTGTTTCCTTTGCTGGGTTTAAACATGGAGTCTGGGGCTCCTCAACATGACTCATGTGTCTCCTCTCTACCTATGTTTTAGCTCCGCCCCTCAGACCACAGACAGATACCAGGGAGTCCATACCAGGCTCTGAACTGATAAAGGTTGGCAACAGGAAACATTCGCTACTAAGACTGAAAAAACAAAAACCCCAGAGAAAAGTCATTTATGTTTTTCCCTTTAGCTAAAGTGGAAAAACTTCTGGTGTGTTTGGGGGGAGGTCACTGCAGTCGGGGTTAGGGTCCGAGCGTATGGAAACTGTGAGTCAGTTATAAATGTTTCAACAAAGGAAGAAGAAAAGAAGCTGAAGCTGAGTACAAAACTACAGCTACGACTAGTTTTGTTTAGTGTCAGTATATTTAAATACAGATACTTCTTATTAAACCCTCACCGCAGTAACAGTCAGATGTCTAATAGCTTAAACAGTACGGTCTGATCTTTAGTCCAGATGCTGGTGGGGTGTGGGGGGGTAGCAGTGGGGGCTCTGCTGTAGCTCTGCTCCAAGACCCTCAGCGTCCCCTGGCTGAACATAAATCTTGTCGTGTTACCGACGAATGAAGCTGTCCTTAGAGAAGCTACGCTACAAACGTCGGATGGAATTCTCACTCCGTTAGCCTGAGGCTAACCAAACATTCCAACATCATTGGTCAAAACAGCCAAAGGTTTGACCGTGGATGTCTGGACGTAGAGACAGTCTACGTCCGTTGGTCCTTACGTTGATGTCGTCTTTTGATCAATGAGGTTCGGTCTCTGTGTCTGATCCAGATCCTGGTGTGGTGTTGACAGGGATTGAATTCTAAAAAGAATGATCTAGTTTGAACATGTTCATCAACTTGGCTTCACCAAACAAAGCTCAGTATTGTGAGGGAGGGGTTGGAAGCTCAGGCCAGGAAAGTTGAAGTAAGACGTTTGCTGATTGCATGTCTAGGCTTTTCCAGCAGCAGGCCTCATTTTTTTCTTTTAAAGAGACAACCGCAGTTATGAGCTGCTCCCCTGCTCCTCTCTACCACTGCCTCCCACCTCCTCACTCCCCCACTCCCTCCCAACCCTATCTCCACATTCTCTTTTCTGCTCTACTGTTCTGCTCTGTGGGGGTTTTTTTTTAAGGAATAGCTGAAGAAATATTTTTGGAAATAAAACCTTGGCAGAAAGACCTGACCTGAGAACTGTTGAAAAGTTGAGAGAAGACACTAGTTTAAGAACTATTAGGTTCAAATGGGGTCACGTCAGTCTGGGGTATGTCATTAAATATGCTGGGCATCAAGTGAAACCGTTCGAGTTAGTTTCTGTCTGCGCAGGTACAACAGTTCAGTAACGTCAGAACAAACAAACATTCGTTTGTCTTATAGCTTCTCTCCACTGGTCATGTTTTCACAACCACCTAAAAGGAGTCGAACCATGTGTTACATGTAGACGAAGCCGACGACACAACCAAAGATGAGCTCTCTGCACAAACCACACATAAATCACAGGCCTGGATCAAAAAAGGGTCTTGGAAAAAATATAATACAAAAGTATTTGCTCTAAAACAAATACTTTAGTTTTTGGCTTG